AATTTTTTTTTTGAAATTTTCAAATTTTGACCCGGCCGGGTTATGAAAACCAATTAATTAATTTTGCATGGCCTTAGATAGAAGTTTACATTATTTACTTAACAATAATTTGTCTAACAACTATTTCCATGTTAAATTTTTGTGCCCATGCCTGAGTCTTTGTATCTATGGTCATGTTTGTGATTTTGTTGAGCATGGACATGAGCCCCTACTATTTATAAATACTATATGCTAGTTTATTATATAATCTATATATTTAAAATCAGTAGTAGTTACACAATTTATACACTGTCACATTTAGAATACCACAAAACTACTATTCAAAAAAATTGATTATCAAATTAGTTTTAATTTAACAAATTATCAGCAAAGTGACTAGTAAAACAAATAACTATGTCCTTTATTGTAAGTTAAATACTGATAGAGTCAATTTATTACTAGTTAATACTGAACCTTTTCATTAATATTCAAAAAATAGATACTTGAATACTTTAATAAATTATACTCTAAGTAGAAAATAAAAAATTTTCTTGATAAATATCAAGACAAAATAAGCATTTATCTTAGATCTTTGAAGATGATTGTAGATAAAAATAAAGGACAAAGGAGTATATAAGCAAAGAATTTGCTTACTAGATATAGAATAGTGAATGTATTTTTTTTTGCTAAAAGTATAGAGAATTTGATAGCATGTATGGGATCTAGAGGGTTTTATACATTCAAGTTTAGAAAATAAGCTACAAAGTTAGTGTTGGGCAGGAAAATCTAAAGGATTTCTTTTGTTTAAGGCTAAAAACTAACCTGGTAAAATATAAATATTTAGAAGATTAATTAAAAGTATTCTAACCTTCCAAGTTTTTTATTTAGACTAATCAGCCTGATTGCCAAACAGCAAGAAAATATGATAAGTATAAGATTGATAACTCCTCAATTAGTATTAATAAAATTGAAAATTCAACAGTAGATATCCAAGGAGTTGTTTTGAAAATAAAAATAATTAATAATGTCTCAGATTATAATAACAGACCAGTAAAAAAGGTAATAATATATAAGTTTTGTATTTATATACACAAAGTAGTAATTTTATTTAATGCTATCTATTCAGAAAAAACTATCATATATAGAACCAAAAAGTGAGAAAGAAGAATTTAAGATATAAGAACTTTTAAGCAGTATATAACATATAATACTAAATGAGCTTATAGTATATTATCTATAGTAGGAAGAAGGATTAATGATATTTTTTAAATCCTCCAAATTATCACAAATGCAAAAGTTGGTTGAGAAAGCTATTAAAAATAGCAGTGATAATTTTTTTTAAATCCTCCAAATTATCACAAATGCAAGAGTTGGTTGAGGAAGCTATTAAAAATAGCAGTGATAATTTTAATATCAAATTGCTTAAATGGCAACAACATATTTTTTAACAATTGCCTCATAGAATTGGTTATCTATCTAAAAGAAGCATTTATCAAATTCTTGGTGCATCTTTCATTCTTTATTTTTGACAAAAAAATGAACAAAGTTACAGTGATTTTCTAACATTAGACAAAAAATTGGCACTTTTGTCACATGCCAACTCAAAGTTTAAAAGATTTACAGTTCTAGAAGAAATAACTGGATTCATGAAAAAATATAAGAAAGTTTATGAATTAACACCAGTAAAATGAGTATCAATAGAGAGCCTCCCTATTGCTGCCAGATTTTGGTACAAAAGGATATCAATAGAGTATCAATAGGAGAAAAATACTCAATAGGATACCAATAGAGTATTAATAGGGTATCAATAGTATATCAATAGGGTATCAATAAGGTACTAACTATTCAATAGGGTCTTTATCGATTATAAACTATTTAGAGAAATTTACATATAGGTATCCGGAAAGTGAAAATAATTACAAATAAGTGTCTGAACTAAAAATAATTATATATAAGTGACTGATATTTAAAAAATATTATATATAAGTGTCCAAATTATTGATAGTTAAAAAAACGTGACTATTATACTACAAAAGTATGAGCTAAAATTATCAAATTGCCAAATGTATTTATTATAAGAGAATAAAAGATAAATAAAGCATTGGTTATAATTATTTTTGCAATAATATTTATTAAAAAAATTTAAACTTTATATTAGATATAAA